CCCCCAAGCACCGTTGTTTGTTTGTTTTCCTTACACTGAGTGCATGTCAAAGAATAAGTAAAAAGGCGACCGGGGATGGAGACTCAACCCGAAAAAAAAATCATTAAAAAAAAGTAACTAAAGCTACATTTCAGAGAACCACGCCTGAAATGATACGTTTCTCAATTAATAAATAAGGGGTGGGGTGGGGGGTGTACACCTGAAGGCTATCTCGCTTATTAGAGGAACACATTTTACCAAATTTCACACACATAACAAGCATAGTAAGGAGTCTTAAAATCCGCAATCAAATTTGAGGAAAAAGTTTCGCTTCCATGGATATGGCAGCCATATTGTATTTTATTGACATGTCTTACGTAATGAATACCGCACTTATTTTTCATGGAAATTGATTGGTTTTTTTACATGCATGTTAGCAAACATTAGATCTATAAATTTGTCTGTTGATTTTTTCCTTAACGAATCAGACAATTTTTAATGAATTATTTTTTCCTGAGGTAGTACTCAAGTTTGCAAAAAATCCGTGAAAATCCACACTCCAGACACCACCAGCAAAAATCTATTCCATATATAAAAAATTTGACAGACAAATTTTTAGTATTATATCTTCTCTTTATTCTGTGAAAATTTCATGAAGATTGGATTTAAAGTGGTTGAGTTATTCAAAAGCGCATAGAGAAAAATCTCGTTTTGAGAAAATGGCCGATAAAGAAAAATAAAATATTGACCTTATGAGGAAATGGTGGTGACAAAAACATGCCCGGTATGGGAAGAAATACGGCTTTTGGGAGTTCTTATGAGTTGAAATAGTTGTAGGAGAGGCTGAGGAAGCTAAAAATGCCTACAACTCAAATTCCACAACTTTGAGACGAATCGGGACGTTGGGGGTGTGCCCCCCCCCCCTCATTTTAAGATAACACTGCTGGTAGGCATTTGCAACTCTAATATATGTATAAGCATGTGAGACCTGGCAGATCACCATCCATCAACATGATTGGCTAACTTAGTGCAGATGTTTTTGAGTCACAATCAGCACAGCTTATATAATAATTTAGGAGGTGGGCTGCTTTTATCACGTTTCGAGGGCCCACTCTGGTTGAATTGGATAGGCCTAATTATGTCATGTAAACCACCCACATGTCAAACTCAAGGACCGCACGGGCCGATATCGGCCCAAAAATCAATTAGCTAATGTATATCCAGCCTGTGAGAGAATTTTAGATTTTTCATCCTGCAGAATCACTATTGGCCTACCACAAAACCTGAAATTGCTCCAAATGTTCAATTAAGCATAAATGAGTGAGCTTATTGCAATGAAGATACACTATATACCGATTTGAACAGCTATCTCTGACAAACTGACATAAGAGCAAAAATGAGTAGTCCTTAATTTGATACATGTATTATTTTAACCTTAATCCGTTTTATATTATTTTATTCATACCATTTTTTTTAATGGGGGGGGGGGGGGGGGGGGGGGGGTAAAGTGCAATGTTCATTGAATGAGTAATTGAATTCACATCCAATATCAGCCCGCGCCTTTTAACTTACTTTTAAGGGTAACTATTTGCAAACGATTGGGTTTGACACGTCTACGGTAGACAGACAAATCCACGTAGATCTAAAAATAAATGAATAAATAAATAAATAAATAATAGAAAGAAAGAAAGAAACCTAATTTTCGCTCAGAGCCATTGCATTAGGCCAATACCTTAGTTAGGTGCCATGTGCAGTAACTGAACGGACACGACAGGGGAGCCTGTACTGTGGAGATAAGTTAAATTGTAACTGAACAGATTGCCAATTCCAACTTTTTGCTGTTTGTCAGACGAAAAAACTAATGTTATTGTACTATACCAAAGATCATACTTTATGTATGATCATTGACTATACTGAGCTGCCTCGGCACAGGTGCAATCGATCCACCATGAGTGATTACGAAACAAGCGTGATCTAGGTATAATAAATATCTTTGGTGCTCGTTCGTCCTTATTTTTATTTTCTTTCAATGAGAATGAGACACGGGAGGCTACTCTCGAATCTAATTGCGCCAGGTGAAAGGTCAACAATTGTAATGCCACCAACTTCGCTTGATGTTGTTTAGACTGTGACAGTCAAGATTGAACAACAATAATATTTCACCCAGTGATATGAATCAGACTTTCAGAACTAAGTCAAGACATGGATATTCAGTGAAATTTTCCCCTTACCTACCGCAACGCATTGCATGCGCCACTTCTCAGTATTATGGCATAGTCGGTATGAACAGCTGAGGCCAGTGAGGCTAAAGCAAATTTAAGAAGACCAAAACGAACTCTCAACTCTCACTCACTCTCTCCTCCCTGTTTCATTTTACGTTGTAGATTCTAGTTGTCTTTAGACTGTAGATCTAGTAGGCTATCGAGAGGGCTTTGACTTTATATCACTGTGTCGAGTGTCAACCTTGAAAGGGATAGGGCAAAGATGAAACCTGCACACTGCCGTTGTTGGTTTCATTATTATTAATAATTAAAAGTGTTGCTGTTCAACTTCAGGGGGTTGATTATTTTGAAGTCTAAAGCCCCGGTTACCCGCTACGATGAATTGTATTAGATTCGTCGTATGAGAGAACTGTCCGTTTTATCAAACTGTGTTGTTTGTTTACACGTTCCAATCTATCATTAAGTTTTCTTTCAATTGAGGAGATTCCTCGTCATAAAGCCACCATGTTTCTTTGCGACGACAGAGATTTGCCTGCTCCCTATGTGAAGGTCTCGAGCTCTGGACCTAATGAATGAAAGGCGAACATTGTACCTCTAGATCATGAGAACCCTCCCCCCCCCTCTCCCCTCTCCCCTGTACATTTTGATTTGGCCGTCGTTATTCTGACTCGAGTCTGAATAACATTTTTTCATATTCGGACTCGAGTCCGAATAAAAAAATTTCTTATTCGGACTCCAGTCCGAATAGGAAAAAATGTTATTCGGACTCGGGTCCAGAAAAAAGGAAGTGTCTTCGTTCTATCTAATGTTCAGTGCTTTCAATTTTCCACCATTTTTTAGTTTCCCCCACACCTTTTCTGCCGATCCGATGCCCGCCGCCTCATTGATACACCCCCCCCCACCCCCCATGTTTCCCACTTTCTTTGTTGTAGAAAAAGGTAAAATTGAAGATTAGCAGACCACCTGGCACCTGCATATTATGAGCTGGGTAAAAAAAAAAAGACCGATTCGTTCAAATACACAAGCCTGTGTCGTATCGATTGTTTACCAAGAAAAAGTTGTGTTGCTGTGTAGAGCTGAGCATACGGCAACTTTTGATTCCATAGACCAGCGCACAATTCATTACGTAGATCTATGTCAAGACTAGCTTATTATTGTAATAAATAATGATCAGTTGCCGCTGGGGAAAAGACTGACGCGTATACGACGTTGAGCGTCCGGACCGATAGTGCCCCCCCCCCCGACACGCACACAGCCACACGTGTGCAGGCCGCCCATCCGACCCCGACACACGCTAACGAGCCATCTTTAATTGCTTCTGATGACCTCTTGACAAATAAACATTTATTAGAAGCGCTATAACTTTTCAGGCCGGCCTCAAATTCATCATAAGATTAAAACTCAGCTCCTGCACAAAACGCCTTTGTGCCCGAAGTGATCCCGGTCTCTACTCAGCCAGAGGCGAGTCATGAGTGAGGCAGGACAGGAAGCCGGATTCACGAGTCACAGGAAGTCGGAAGTCGGAAGTGATGTCATGCTGGACAAGAATCAGAGTCCGAATAACATTTTTTCATATTCGGACTCGAGTCCTAATAGTCACTTCATTTTGATTTAGCAGAACAGTGTCTTTAGAAAAGGGTGGCCATACTAGGCCTACCACCGTGTGTCTGTAGAATCGGAAGCTAGATGTGCAACACACCGAGTGACCTTGATGCACAGTTTCACCATTGACGATCAACTAAATAATGAAATTGCTCAAATATATAAATATATAATAACGCACCAAATCAGGTTCTCCACGAGCAACTCTGCTTATTTTGAGAGGCTGATTCCGAATATGAAATCAGTTTTTACCTACGATAATTATTTTTAAAATTTTGAGTCATGAGTTTTGTTCTGCGCGGTGGCAAACTTCAAAGTGAATCTATGTCAAAGCGCGTCTCCCTCAAGTGTGACCGTGATTGCATGAAAAATATCAAGCAGCGCTTGATTTCTTGACCGAGTCTTCAAACCATTGTTCAATCGTCCAAATTTTGTACAATTTTGTGGTTACACCTGACGATATATTGTATGATCAGAACGTCCAATTTTTGTACAATTTATCGTTACGTGTAACCGAGCGATAAAAGTGTGTTTCTCCTAGTCCAAGTCGAGGCTTTTAAAAAGTGTCTTTGCAAAGTCAGGATAATTACCCGGGAAAATTACCCTCTAAGTTGATTTCCTCTGGCTTTAATTTAGTCAGTTTAGTCTCAACTCAAATAAAAAAATGATTTCCTTGTGGACATAGTCTACTAAAGTTTTGAGACCTCATTCTCACTATTTTAGCAAAACTGAAGCTTTTTCACATTTTATAGTTCATTAATAATTTTAGTTTATATTGTTGTATCCCATAGGTAGCGGCTCTATTTTTGTGTTGGATGTCGACCCTTCAGGAGTGAGAGTTGTCCAGCAGTTTGAGTGGAGTGAGGGCGTCTTTGATCTAACATGGGCAGAAAATAATGAGAACATTCTGGTGGCTGCTGGAGGAGATGGGTCTATACAAGTGTGGGATGTCAGTCAACCTCAGGTAAGAAAAACTGGACCCTCAGTGAATGTGTTGAAATTTTCTTTCTCTAAGTGACGATAAAAAATTACATTAACACTTAAAGCTGTCACCCAGCTAGCAGTACATAATACCCTATATGGTCACCGAGCCAGGAGAGCGACAGCAACAGACTTACATATTCATATATTATTGCAAATTTCCGCTCAGCGGCGATCTCTGTGCTCTTGACAATCAATATCATCACCCCAGCAGACCTGAAACAATCTCAGTTGGAAAGCATACATACCCCATCTCGAGTACGGATCCAGTGCATGGATGACTGCCGCACAGACTCACAAACACACTCTGGAAAAAGTGCAAAACCAGACTCTCCGAATAATCACTGGAGCAATGAGGTCAACGCCTATAGAAAAGATGGAACAAACAACATCAATAGTGGCCCTGCAGAGGAGATGGGAGTGCAAGGCCCTCATACAGTACACCAAGGCCACAGCTATGGAGGATCATATAATGCACACAAGAACAGCCAGATCAAACACCACAAGACTTAAAAGATCCAACTTCAGCAATGAAAGCAGAAAATTCAAAGATCCCTACAGGACCATTTACCAGCCACAGTGAACATGCTGAACCATACCCCAGAGGCACCATCATGGGAAAAGAAAAACGCAAACATATCTATACACACGTCCATTCCTATGTTCACCACAAAAGATGACTACAGTGACGTGAGCAAGAAATCCCTCAACCTGTCCATGCATGAAGAAAGATACCCCCGTGAAGCATGGATAAGGGTCTATACGGACGGATCTGCCACTGATGCAGTGAAAAGAGGAGGAGCCGGAGTGTATGTACAGTACCCAAATGGATGACGAAAAGCAGAGGCAGTCCCAACAGGGCGACCCTGTACAAACTACAGGGCAGAGACGGAGGCTTCTAATACATGCAGCAAACATCATCAAGAATGTGGTAGACCCCCAAAGCCAAGTAGTATTCCTAACTGATGCCATGTCAGTACTGTAGGCAATCACTGCCGGCAAACTAACAAGGCTATGAGAAGTAATTAAGGACATCCCATGTCTGAGGATCATGCTGCAGTGGATTCCATCACACTGTGGTGTCTTAGGAAATGAGCAGGCTGACAGGATGGCCAAACTAGGAGCACAGAAAGGGCAACCAGACAACAGCGTTAACTACACAGAAATAAAAACTATTATAAATACCCTATTTAAAGCACCACAGACACCAGATAGCTACCATGAGCTGCCCCGATAAAGAACATGGGATTATCTTCCAACTAAGAACCCAACACACAAGACTGAGACAACATATGTACAGATGTTTTAAACTAGCACAATCACCAAAATGCCAGTGTGGAGAGGCGGACCAAACTGTTGAACACATCCTTCAGCACTGCAAGACACACAGGGCCTCGAGACAGGAAATGAGGCCAACCCCACTGACTCTACAAGAGAATCTATACGGGCCGACAGATGAACTGAGCAGGACAGCCCAATTTATGACAGATACCAGACTTAAAGCGTGATGCGATCAAGAAGAAGAAGAAGATGGAAAGCATACAATACATGGTAGTCTCTACAGAGGCGTCAGAAAAGAGCAATGGAATTTATGCTACGTACTTTTCAAATCGAAGGGAGGTTGTCATATAAAAATATTTCATGATAGCCAAACCCTACAAAAATAGTACTTAATCATCATCAACTTGAGACTGATCTTAGTTGCAAAATTCCTGATGTGTAACTAGCAAAATGATATAGAGAGTTCTATTATGCTTTCTTAGATCTCATCTCTCTAGCAAAGGTGGGCTAAAGCTACAATGCAAGCCTTCATTTTATGGACCATGGCAATTAAATTGTTTATTGGCTAGAATCACTGATTGCCATAAATAAAAAAAGTTATTTTAAATATTGTAATAACAGAATACTGTTTTTCATTGTTCACAGGGACCCCTGAAGGCACTACGAGAACATACCAAAGAGGTAAGGAAACAACTTAAGATTGGTAATCATTCCACACTCCTTCTCAGATGTCATCTTAACCATTTCAATGCCGCAGGTAAATAGGCCCCTGTGCCAGGGGAAGTCCCAAGAACCAAGACGGCTCAGAGGTGACCCCACTCTACCTCCCATAACTTTTTTATTTATGAATATTTTCTCATGAATTTATGCATGTACATTCTACATTGAACCACGTTTCTATTGATGTAATTTTAGGGGATTTCATTTAGAGATTGGAGAAAAGTTGGGAGTTAGTAACATGATGCCCAAAACAACACCACCAAACAACATAAAACAACACACGTTCGAGTAATGATAAAGTGAGACCAAAAAAAGGGGAATACATGTTGTGCATGTAAGCCAATCTGTGTTTACTGCTAATAAATCATTTTTGTGCGGTAGATGTGTTAGATCCAGATCTAAATCTAATTTTCTCTTTGAGCTAAAATCTGAATCTGACACTTTCGTATGGGTGGGAAAATGGTGATAAACATAAAAGGAAGGTACCCCAATAATAATTACAAGATTTTAGCAGTAACTTCCCTTATAATTGGTATCAAAACATCCTCAGTCACAGTACCGTAAATTCTACGAGCCAAAGGCAAAACGCTATACTCTTCAGGCCTGTAAATTCTTCGGACGCGGCAGCAAAGGGGTTAAGTCCTGACTTTTGTAGTGCCTTTTCACACGTATGTCATGTTGATAGTTTTATTTTTCAATTACAATTTCTTTTATTTCAGTTTATTTTTTTAAAGAAATATAATTAATTAACTAACAGCTTCCTTCTCTTTTTCATTTAAATGAAGAGTGTATGATGAAAATCAGGGCTACAGGCTCAGTTTTGGTGGATGACTTAACTCTTGGCTTTGCAGTTGAAAGGTTACAAGTTTAAGGATAATCCAACGTTAACTCAATAGGTTAAGAAAGGAATTCCACACACATTTTGTTAGCAATTTTCTTTTATTTGTCCGTACTAATTGTCATATTTCGTCCACAAACAGGTGAATGCGGTGGACTGGAGTCAGACAAGAAATGAACATTTTGTGTTATCAGCATCATGGGATAAACTGATTAAACTTGTAAGTCAATCCACTGTGTGTGTGTGTGTGTGTGTGTGTGTGTGTGTGTGTGTGTGTGTGTGTGTATGTGTGTGTGTCTGTCAGTCTGTCTGTCTGTGTGTGTATGTGTTTGTGTGTGTATGTGTAAAAGTTTACACATAGAAATTATTAATATTGTGTGTGTACTCAGAGGAATTAAAGATAATCACCTGTACAAATGACCATGCCCTTTCCCCATTGCGCTTCTATTAATATTATTATTATTATGTCACTGATCAAGATGACCACTTGTATGTGTGGTCATTGGACAGGTTTTACTGTACTTTGGAATGGGACAAAAATAGCTGTGAAATGGGCTATTTTAATGTTTTAAAACGTCATCTGCATGTTGTGATGCTGTACTGTTTTGTTTTTGCTCAGTGCACTTTTTTGTGTGTCTCAGTGGGACATTAGTCAGGCCCAGTCCATCGAGACATTCCAAGGTCATGACCACATCGTCTACCAAGTGTCATGGTCTCCGCACGTCCCTGGATGCTTTGCCTCTGCTTCAGGTATGTTTGTTGTCTTCAATGCAAAGCTTTCCATGATAAAACGTACAGTGGCGTTTACTGTCAGTTCTGTTAACTTATTTTGTCCTGTCATGGGGATTCCTCATGCTCCCAATTCAGTCTCAGTTGCCCATACACAGGGGTTTCCCATTCTAAGAGATATAGTTATAAAAATAACTTACATTTTATTATGGTGATTTCTTTGAAAAAATAAGGTGGGAGGGGGGCTCTTCAAGATAATCTAACACTCCAGGAAAACCATTTTAGTGCTTCTATAAATGTAAGTCAGTTTTTTTGAATTGTATGGAATGATGGCAGAGCTTATTATGGGTGAGGACAGTGAAGAAGGAGCTATTGAAGGCAATGCTGATTCTGGTGAAATTTTTATGATACTGAAATAGAGGAAGATTCTCATTCAGATGATTGTGACAGGGATGAAACTTATACCTTGTTTCCCCAGCTACGTACCTCCACAAAGACACACTACTTTAAGGGAGATAGCTGGAGACCTGTGAGAGGGCTGTGTAGTGGTAAAAGCCAGAGAATGTGGTCATGCGCATAGTAAATGTTTGTAATGAAAAGGGTCTAGAGAGAGGAAAGTGATAAGCTGTAGACTGAGACTAAGAGGATTTTCAGAAATAATGCTTAAAAGCCACTGTTCACTGATATGCCCTGGTATCAAACTTTTAGCATGGGCAGGGAAAAATGCCCCTGGCAAATTTACTTGGTAGAAGAAAGATGGTTAAGAAGCCCATATCGTTTCTTCAAACAGATTTGTGTGTGCGGGTCCCATCCCCCCTACCTACTTCAACCCTCAATTTTTTTCTGGGAGAGATTTTCAAACCAATCGGCTTGAAAATATGACATACATTTTCTGTAGTCAAAGACAATGACATTAATGTTGCACACCCTCGATCAGATTCTACTTGTTTTTAGCAAAGGTGCAGTTTTTTTTCGTTTTTTTCTAAGACCTTGATCTTCATCTAATACTGGACAGGAGATCACAGTGTCCGTGTGTGGGATTGCAGAAGATCTGACGGTTGTGTGGCGCTCATTCCAGCTCATGAGGCTGAAGTGCTGTCCTGTGATTGGTGTAAATATGATCAGGTATGAAGTTTGGGCAGTGTTTGTTATGAACTTTCAGCCTGAATGTAATTTATAATGAATATTTTTGGTTGTTGGTTTTTACTTTTTACTTTTCTCAATGTAAAGAAGGTTTTGAATTCATGTTCTTTCTATGTTATGGTATCCTTCACATGCTGCTTTAAAAGTCCAATGTTTATTTTGCACACGTTTTATATATATATATATATATTTTTTCATTGATGCCTCTTCAGAACCTCTTGTTCTCTGGTAGTGTGGACGGACTTATCAAAGGTTGGGATATCCGGAAGCCAGCTCACCCTGTTTGTGTTCTACGAGGTCACAAATATGCCGTGCGTCGTATACGTGTAAGGATGGAAAACATTTTGGTATAAGGGAATAAAGAATAACTGAATATTAGTTAAGTTGTTAGGAATTGAAGAGCTCTGTGATATACATAGTGAAACCAATTCGTGTGGTAAAAAGCTATCACTCTTGGTACTTAACACTTACTTTATTTCACTCCATGAAATGTTTATCTGAACAACATTTTAAAGTCAAAGTAAAATGCTTTATTTTGCTCTTTTAAACCTGTATTCTGATGAGTCTTTGTTTTCAAGATTCTTACATTTTGTTCTGTATTTTTCCCTTTTTATTTCAGGCATCGCCATTCAGTGGCTCAATTGTTGCATCAGCTTCATATGATTTCTCTGTCAAGTAAGTGACTTACATGGGGAAGTAATAAATTTTAATTTGAACTTTTTTTAAGGGGGGGAGGGCATTCATAGGCTTAATTTGAATTAAGCTCTTGTAACTCTAGCTGTTTAACTTGAAGCATTTATGTGAGTTGTTTGGTTTGGGAAGATAAGGGTTAAATGTAGCTATAGCATATCTGGGAGCTCTTCTCATGGTAGCTGTACTTATCAGACCACAACGCTACCTTACCAAATGCAATCAGCGACATTTATACCCGATAGAATAAAACTGTTGAACACAAATACCTTGAAAAGGAACAAACACAAATGGAAGCAGTGTAATAGAAAGGTCCCTGAATAATGGTATGGTCTTTGTGCTCATGGAGAATCTTGAACATTTTTAAGAAAGCAAGACAATAAACCCCCCAATCCCCCTTTGATGTTCAATTTCTGGACCATTCAGACCTGGCTGGAACAAATACAAGCCCATTGTCACAAACTTTCGCTGCCTTTGATACGCACTGAACAAAAACATCCAGTACAAATTGAACGTTAAGAAGAGTGGTCTTTTTTACCAACTCCATGAGGCCAAAAACAGTCTTGCCCCAGAAGACCCAACCGAATAACTGAAATAATTACTCTTAACTTTATAATTACTCTTAAAACCATAATGATTTGCTTTTGCCGATAAGTGAAACGTCCAAGCGACCTTTGGCGCTTGTCGAGTAACGTTGATTAACGTGATTCAAATGCCTAGACGCCGTCATACTGTCACTTAGGCAGTTGAATCACGCAGATTTTGGTAGGTCTAAACTGCCTATGTCCAGTAACTTTTGTAAGAAAGCTTTTTTTTAAAAGTTAGTTACATACCATCGTTCTACATCATATTACATCATCTGAATTTCAGATTCATAGGTAAGAGCATAAAGAAATAAAACAGTTTTTTGCTTCTCCTGAAAAATTTGTCTCTTGGCTCTTAAGCGGTTAAATCACGCGGCTAGTGATATTTAATTTTTTGTATGAAAGAGGTTATTGAAATAAAATAAATGTGAGGCCTGGTGACAAAATGGGTTACTTCTTGGAATTTAGCCATGTGGATATACATATATATATGTCTGACTCATAGGTTGAGTTTGTACAATTTATCTGTACCAAATTATAAAAGGCTTTTGTTAAAGAAAATGGCCTTGTTGAAGATCTACAAATTTTACCCCAGTGTCAATAATTTTTTTTGGCTGATATCTCCGTTCACTCATTGTGCAAAGTAGCGATAACTCATTTTATCAGCATACCTCACAAATGGGGAATACAATCTGTGTGTCATGTTAACATCTTTGTTGGCTTGTCATTTGAGACTTCTGCACTTTGCATATTGTTTTGTTTCAGAATCTGGGATACGGAACAGGAGTTGTGCCTTGACACTGTGGAACATCACACAGAATTTGTCTATGGTCTGGATTACAATCTACACGTTCCAGGACAGGTAGTTTTTTGATAAATTGTTTTAGTTTTCTTAATCCGATCCCCCTCCTCCCTCCTCTCAAGTAGATGTTTTATGAGTGGTTTGAATGCCTTACTTGTCTGAAATAGTTCTTCCTAAAGACTGAATATCTCTCCTAATGGAAAGAGTTAAGAAAATGGCAGAAACTGAAAAAGTTAGAGACAGTATTTGGATGTGTAAATATATGTGCACACTTGTTGATCTATTCATACTTTAGGCAAATTTGTCATAAAAGTTTAGATTTACGTAATTCCATATTTTCCCTCATCATACTAGGAGTGGATTCGTTTGTGATGCATAGGGCATGATACCTTTGAAAATACTGCTTTCGCTATCGTAATAATACTTTAGTGCCATGATGTGTTGTTGGTTGTTTTTTTTTACCCCCACAAATTAAAACCTTAAGGAAGAGACAAATGCAGTTTCTAGGGTAAGTTTCTAGGATACTATTATTTAATAAAGGTCTTGAACATTTTGCTCTCACTGGAAAAAAGACGGCAAGTGAGGCCAAGATTGAACAAGAATTACTTACTTAGACAACTTGAACAGATGAGTGAAGGGAAAAGACTAGGATGACGTAATATATGAGAGCTTTCTAGCAGAGAATTGGATGGTGAGCCATGATCACTGTCAATGTCTGTTTTGAATCAGGCACTTGAAGAAGACGAATATGACATGTTCTTGTTAATGTTTGTTTTGATTTGGATTTGTTTTTCAATCTCAGATGGCTGACTGTGCCTGGGATGAGCTGGTTCATGTCTATCAGCGTCCCCTGAACTTGCCCTGACCAGCTGCGAAAAGTAGAAATAGGATTTGTTGAATATCATTTTACAGTTTTTCCTGGAAGAAAATTGTTTTTTCCCCTTGAACTGTTTTTGTATTTTCATAGACTTATACCATAAGTCTTTTGGAAACGATTTGCATTATGTTTTGTACAGGGGTTTGACTAGTCGTCATGCTGGAGTCTAGTCCTGGGTCTGTTGAGATCTTTTTTTAATTGAACGATTCTGGGTGCTGAGTTCCTTATCTGTGATTAAATTTGGACTTTTTGATAATTGTACTTTATCATGTCTAATTGTTTTTTAAATTTTATTTTGCATCAATGTCGTAAGTAAGTGATGTGTGTACATGGCATCTGCTCAGTGTGTCTATGAATGTATATATATTTATATCATGGAATTAGTTCATTGGACTGAGCAATCTAGTAGAACAGGACTAGAGTTTGCTATGGGCCTAATAACTATTGACATTGATGCTCTGGGAACTGGGAACTGAGGGGGGAACATTGGATGATATGACTTAGGATCAGGAACTCACTGGGTTGAAATATGGTCATGCTGAGAGAATTCTTAGGTACCAGAAACTAAATTTTCTAAGTAGCTTGTTGGCGAATTTATCTGTCCCATATGAAAGGCCTTTGTCTTCTGAGAACTTTGGTACCATTCTTTTACCTCCCTATCAATATTATTTTAAAGAAAATGGCGACTGTTTTTATCATCAAACTGTCATTGTTGCAGATCAGTATTTTATTGTCTGAAAAATGCAGATTTGTTGTTGTTTAGACTAGAACTCTCGAGTCTTTTCCAGGCCAGCATGACACTTGCACCTGAGCCAGGTGGTTTGGCTCTGTACAGTAGTGTACTGAGTGCTCCCCATGTCGGGGTCACTTACTTTCAGAGTTTCGCAGAAGGATTGAATATCTAATCCCAAGCTGAAGACTCTGTTCCAATAGAAATGAATTGATCTTTCTATTGTTGATACTGTTGCCTTCTTTGAGCTGGTATTGTACCTATTTCATGTAGGAAAATGTCTTTGAAAACTTTGACGCTATTTTTTAAAGCTTTCTATTCCATCCCTAGAGGCTAAAATACATCGCTGGATACACCATTCAAAGCACTATAGCCTCCGCAAATCTTTCCATAAAGTATTCAAATTTTTGGGCTTCAAATTTTGAGCCGGCTGACCTTACATTCTAACCACAAGAGGCTTTGTTTTCCACTGCAATTCTCCAGCTCCAAATACATAAACATATAGTCTAGACAACAGACACCGTTATAATAAGGAAAAGGTGAACATGCTCATGGTGTACAGCGTTTGGTGTTTCATATTGACAGGGCAAGGAAACGGTGATCTGAATTACTCTGATTTCGCCTAATCCACCCTCTCAAAAGGCCATGAATCGGCTTACGTGCTGTGTGTGCACTACCAAGTTCTGGTACTCTGTCTACTGGGCATTTTTTCTACCACATGTTGGCCTTCATAAAAGTATGCTTTTGTCACTACTTATGTAGTTTGATAAAAGCATCACAGGAGCTCCTTTCTGCTGAGTGCAGTTGATCGTGAAATTGAAAACATGTATACAGTATAATATGGATAGCTCGAATTCATTGGGACCGGCCTCGGTAGTTTGAGGGATCCGTAGATCGAGGGATATCTTACAAAGATAAAGAAGAAGAAAAAAACGGGACTGCAGGCACAGTTGGACAAATGCGTGATTTCAAGTTTTCTGTTTGTTCGTTTAGTATAGGGTTTTACGGCGCTCGCAACCGCATAAGGTCATATGAGCGCGCAGGACACACCTAATACTTTTTCGTTGGTAGGAAATTTTGAATTTTGCCCGGGTGGCGGCCGAAGCCTACTCTTATCGAAAGTTTTCTGTGTTCGACCTATCCATGTTATACTGTATATCATAATGTAATGTTATTAACATTTTTACACTTTGCTTAAATCACATGTGTGTGTTCAGAGGCATTTATGAGTGTGAGTTTATGTGAGAGAGAGGGAGAAAGAAAGAAGTGGGTATGGCAAAAGAGAGAGAGAGTTATCACTTTTTATCCGAGTAGGCTGCTTGTCTTGTCACTGTATGACCATCAGCCATTCATTAACATAACAAGAATATATATGAAGTTTTTGATTATGGGAAAGTCTATTTTGTTTTTGATCTCTTGTCATATCAGTCTTATTTTGCTCCTGTTGTGTGTGGCATAATAATATCATGTGATGTATATTTGTATGCTGACAGCCTGACCACACATTTACAACCACTGAATGTGCTTGTCCCTCAAGTTGAAGTACCTGGTTCAATCCCTGGTTTAGTGAAACATGGTGTATGCATCTTGGAAGATTCTAAAAGAATTCTCCCCAGTTACGATCCCAAAGAATATATATATTACGGGGCGTAATTAGATCGACTATTCCCTGTTTGTGTTCGAGCTTCGCGTAATTTTCTTACAAAGATAAAAAAAGAAGAAAAAAGGGGACCGCAGGCACAGTTCGATGGTTGAGCGATTTCAAGTAATCTGTGTTCGACCTATCAGAGTTATACTGTTTTTTTATTTCCTACATTGTCATTTCTGCTAAGGACAAAACCCGTAAAATCTATGTATGCATGTTACATAGATATCTCAACAGTTAAAAAAAAGAAGCAGAAGAACTGGCTCGCTGGGGCAATAATTCCAAATAAAAGTCTTATCCAAAAAACTAGAAATCCTGTGGTCTGTATAAATAAATGAAGAGAAAGTTCACAGATGGCACATGGCTTCTCGAAAGAGGAAAGACTTCTACCTAGTAGTAGTAGAATGAGACTGACGGCGTATCATGTAAGTGATGTAAATGTGTGTCCATGTATCAAGTATCAGTGAGGTTTAGCCGAAGAGTGAAGCCAGTAACAACATTGTATTTAAAGGATATATTCTTATCATGTATTTATTAACCAGAATTTGTCTCATATTTCCTGTGAGAAATTTGCCTCTCTATGTTCTCAGGGATTTCCAATCATGGCGTTCTCAGAGAAAAAATAAAATGTTACTTTTATAAATGAATGAAATCTGGGTATGTGTGTATTCTCTCTTCACATTAGTTGACTAATGTCTGTGCTGTAGTGGTTAGGCTCTTCGTTTATGTGTTCTGAAGACATGAGTCTGATTCCAGAGTGGGAAAGTTTGTTTTTTTTAAAATCAAGTTTCTCCGTTTGTCTGCAGAGGTTTTTGTATTCCATTCAGCCTGGTTTGGCCTTGACAGGTTTGTAAACACAAAGAGACAAACCTTTAAATCACATATATTATATATATATATATATACAAAATAGAAACTACTCCAGAACCACACGGGTGTTCTCCTTTCACATCCTTTCCTGCTCTCCAACAATGTTCTGTCCTCTGCTTTCGTCTCCTCTTTCTGCCCCCACTCCCCCACTTCCTTTTGCCCCCGCCTCTGGGCTCCTGACTCTTTCTGCAGCCTTTCTGTTCCTTCTCCATGGCTCCTTCTTACTGCTGTCTTTCAGCCACACCCCTGATCTTATGGTTGGTAAGATGTACATCTAGCCTTCTCGACGAGGCCGAAAAATCTCGGAGGTCCCGTGTGCAAGTTGTGCTTGTTAAAAATCCCTTGAAGGTCTAAAATCGATAAAGAGTTGGCTTCGGCCGCCAACCGGACAAAATTCAATATTTCCTACCAATTGAAAATGTTTGGTGTGTCCCGCGCGCTCATATGACCTTATGTATTTGCGAGTGCCGTAAAACACTTGCTCAATAAAACAACAACAAAACCCCCCCAGTAGATTTGACCACTACCACCTAGACCCTAGACGGTCATATAAACTATGATCGCCTAGACTACCACACAATGAACTACACAAGACACTGACACCACCGGGTGGAGGTAGGGGTGAAGGAGGGGAGCGGGGTAAATTTATCACTTCCTTTCCTGCTCTCTAAACATTCTCTGTCGTCTGCTTTCGTCTCTCTTTCTGCCCCCCCCCCCCCCTCCCCTCCTTTTCCCCCCCCCCCCCCCTTCCACCCCGCTCTGCAGCCTTCCTACTGCTTCTCCTTGAACCCTTCTTACTTACTGCTGCCGTTCAGCCACACCCCTTATCTTTGGGTAGGTAAGATCCAACACATAGCCTTCTCGGATAAGGGCGAAAAATCTCGGAGGTCCAGTGTGCAAGTTGCGCACGTTTAAGGTCCCTTGGTGGTCTAAAATTGATAAGGATAGGTTGTGACTGCTATCTGCGCAAAATTCAAAATGAATTCCTACCGAACTGAAATTTTTAAAAAAGTGTCTAGTGTGTTCATATGACCTTACGTACTGCTGCGAGCGCCGTGAAGACACTTATTTAAAAAAAAACCCACTCAAAAACCAAAACAGTTATCAACCATTTTTTTCAAAACAAAAGCATAAAAATGTTTTAACTTCATACAGTAGATGAGGTTTCCAGGGACTAAATAAGAAAAATAAATAGATTTCGGAAAGCAATTAATGTAACTTGAGGCACAAAATCCCATTTGAAAATAATTTATCAACCGATGAGATTACTCGATTAACAAATGATGGTCAAAGGGAAATGATCAGAAATAGAAAATATTATTTATAGTAATGCATAGGTGATTTCCCTTTATTTGAAAAACGCATTGACGTCCTTATGATATTCATTGAAAATACACTTTAATCTTTAATCTTTTTACAGTACTGAGCAATAATTGCACACGTCATGTACTGTTTTTTTTTTTATTAATCCTTTCTACTTTCTTTCTTTTCTCTTATCTATTGTGTTTTCATTATAGGCTACATCTACTTTTTCAGTTTAGTAAAAGCGTCTCTTATAAGGATCAGTTAGGCTATAATTTATGAAATTCTTCTCATCAAGACATTACACGGCTGTTTAATCTCTTTGACCGTGTCCCGAGCATTTTCTGAACATTTCAATGTTTCGTGCACTTGAATGGAATGAATAAAAAAAAAGAAAGAAGTTTCTTATAGTCTCGCGCCCTGAGCATTCCAAATATATTTGAATTTTGCATTGTGCAAATCTGGTGATAGGCCTACTGCAATTTGGTAATATTGGTGAACGGTATCACTTGGGTCGTGACAATTGTTATATTTTCACCCCGCTATGAAATACGCGAAGGCCAACTGGTGAATTATTAGTTACTTTTTATTATTATAGGGTGTTTTTTTTGCTTCAGAAGTAGATCTAGATCTAGATCGATTTGAGAATGTACACGTATACATGAAATAGGCCTATGTTTGTCTATGGAATAGAAAGACTTTTGAGTTTTCCTAAATTTTGTAATGGACCTTAATTATTATCAGGTTATTCCTAATCTACGTTTGTAATGTGTTCTTTTTCTTCTTTATGTTTTTCACCTTCTTGATTTCTACATAATAATAATAATTCAGTAGGTCATCTGAAAACAGGGTTACAATCTTATTTTGCTCTTTTTTGTTGTTGTTGTTCTTATTCTCCGAAATTCTACTTGTCCTTTTATTTCTTTTTGTTGTTGTTGCCCTTCTTCGAAATTTTCCATCTTCTCTTTCTCCTCTACCTCTTTTTATTTCTCAGTTAATTAAAAACCAAATCTTTCGAAATAAAAAACTTATACATGTTCCTGGTCATTGCTGCACATCCTGTTGTCATCCTTTCCCGACCCAACCCTCCAGCAATCGTGAAATGGGCCAAAGAACCGAACGGGAATCCCCTCTGTGGTAAACAAGGCCATTGACCAAGCATAACGGAAGTGTGGAGTGGTTGCCTCACGCCACTATCAGCCGATGCAAGCAATGCATGACAAACCTGAATGCCGGGCCAGTCTTTCGCTGTGTGCGAAGCAATGAACGATGTAGTAGCAACAACAGTGCCATAGTTTTTATAGTAAGGTAAGTTGAAACTTTATTAATGCCCAACCACTAGCTTCTCTAGAATTTAGATTTTTCTAGTGCTACTTTTATAGTCTGAATAGTGAATAGAATCTCGCAAAAAACAACATTGACAACAACAACAACAACAAAAATGTTTAATTATGACTTTGATGTCGCTGATCTTTGCCTAAATGTTATGTCCCACATTGACATTTTGTGTGTAACACTGACAGCAGACAATAATACTCAATATGTCAATCGTGATTAGGCCCTAGATCTAGATTCTAGATTCTAGAATCTAGACTAGAGTCTAGATCTAGATCTAGTCCCAGTTTGCCGGCGATTGCGTGGCGTAGGCTAAGCCTACTCACTCGTCGATTTTGTTTGTGGTTTTGTTCGTTAAAGTCAAGAGTAGGGGGAGTTGAGGGGGGCTTGCCCCCCTGACCTAGCCTAATATAGAAATATGGGGGTGGGGGGGGGGTTCAGGGGGAACTTTATCCTAATTTGATGTTTTGCAGTTTAGTTTAGGTTGCATCCCTGCTCTTTGTGTAGCCTATTTGGTCATCAAGACTTGAAGACTTCTGGATTTCTTCTCTGGATATAAACAAATGGATGGTGTACTTTAACGAACGGAACTACAACTACAAGATCACCGCCTACTGTGCTGTACTATACTTAGATCTATATCGCCGTATATCTGTAGATATCTGTTCTGCAGTCGTGTTTGAATCTAATTATGACTGACTAGATATCTAGATTAGATAGGCCTAGAAACAGTGATCTTGTAGTTCCGTTCGTCAAAGTCCACGATCCATTTGCTTACATCAAGAGAAGAAATCCAGAAGTCTTGATGACCAAATAGGCAACACAAAGAACAGGGATTGCAACCTAACTGCAAAACATCAAATTATGGTAAAATTCAGCCCCCCCCCCCTTCCATATTTTTATTAGGTCAGGGGGGCAAGCCCCCCCCCTTAAACCCCCCTACTGTTGACTTTAACGAACGAAACTACAAAATCGCACTAGAATCTAGTATTCATCATCATCCAGTGCCAGATCTCATCTGATCTGTGACAGACATCGGCGATCATGGTTCTCCGTTCATTCCGTTGCTTGGGTGCTCTTAAAAATGCTAGGTTTCCTTGATCTTTCCAGACTCTCTGATCTTTCCCTGTTACCCATTTGTTCTAAAAGTAAGTAGGTTGCTGGTCCTACCCGTGCCTCAGGCCTCGTTTGCCTGCCTTAATTTTTGCCAGTGAGAGCTAGATGTTCAAGACCCTTGTCTATTCCGGTGTCCTAAAATTGTCGCTTCCTGATTGACTTAGCTGATTGTTTTTAACACCGAAGTGACTATTCGGACTTGAGTCCGATTAGACAAAAATTATATTCGGACTCTGAATTAAGTCCAGCAATACGTCTGTTCCGACTTCCGACCCTTGTTCCTAAATATTTCCAGCATTTATGACTTTAAAAAATATTATAATGATAACAATCGAGACATAGGTTTAATATCCAGTGACTAGATCTATCTATATTATAGATATATATATCTTCTAAACTGGCCCTCCCTGCATCATTAGTAATATAAACAGAAACCAAGTTGAGTTGATACGCACTCTCAGCTTGCTGGGGAAAGAGGTGTTAGGAAGAGGCCACGGCTATCGATTTTATGCGACGTAATTTTAAAAAATAATTGGAAGGACTTCCGTAACGAGAGACCAAGTTATGAGACTGAGTGGAATAGAGGGGTAGGGGTAGGGTTTGGGTTAGGATATATAATGGTTTGGGTTAGGGTTAACGTTAGGGTTTGGGTTAGGGTCAGGTTTGGGTCTCTTCTTTATTGTGTTTGGTGGGGTGGTCGCTCGTCACGGAAGTCCTTCCAAATAATTAATTACAGAAAAACTATAACACACCACAAAATGAAATTAAATCTGTGGAAATACAAATGGTGGTGGAAGTAATGATGATGCTGTAGTGGTGGTGGAAAGACCCTGATCGAGTTGTCTGTTACCGTGTACGTAGACACTTCCATGTCTTTTGACTTTTGACACAATTACACAGTCTGTAGTTCTAGATTTAGTTCTAATTCTGGTTTCAAGTAAAATTCCCAGACAACAGTTATATTATGTGACCTCCTTACACTCACATAACTCACTTACATCTAGATCTAGAAGCCGAGTCCGAATAGAT